CTTGAGAAGTTTTTGAGGAAGCTTCAGTGCCTGCTTTGTTCCATTTTAAAATGCTTTTTTGGCATGACTTATTTAATATTGACAATGTTTATGCTGAGTTCTAAAGAAAGAGGCTAACCATATTTCTCCAGGAGGAAATCAGATATAATTAGTGCTTTTTATACTCCAATCTTCTGCAATACTCATCTATTTCCTTTGAATGTAAGCAATTCCCATTATTGGCAAACTGTGTTTTATTGGATTAGTTGATGAAACTTACGTTATCTCTGTTATATGTATATAGTCCAATTACCGTAGGTTAAGCAGAACGGGCATGCTGCAGATCCTTTCAGCCAAAGAATGTTAGCTGGTGGGGAGCAGAAGACCAACTTTTTCTGCAGTAGCCCCATTCTGTGGAACATCCTCCCTTTGGAGATCAGATTTAGTTTCAAGTAAAATATAGTGCTCTGTGATTTAGAACGTTAATGTAAAAGCCTATTGAAGAGAGAGAAAGAATTAATACCTTTCAGCAGTTTCCTGAACCTATTGAGCGGGTGGATAACTTGGAATTTTAAGAACATGCTGCTGTTTCTCAAGCAAAATAATTATCATCATGACTAAGGTTGCAGAATGGATTAGGGTCACAAAATGGTATCAGGGTTCCGACCGATGCCCTAATAAAAGCAGGAGCTTCAAATTTCCAAGAAAATCCAGTTGTCTATTAGTTGTTCATATCAGCACAGACCAAGTCTGTGAAGACAGCTCTGACCCCACTCAGTTTGCACCTTACCTCTGACTGTTTCCCCCCCCCCCAAGATGTGTCATTGGTTACATCCCCAACGAAACAATTTTGCGGGTCATAGAAATCACTGCCTCCTGCCATTACTCATATCTGTGGAGATGGCTTTGACTTTGGCCGGCTAGGGTGTGCATTGTTTTGACTGAGGTGCAAATTCCTCGATGCAGCTGTGAGGCTTGGTTCCCAATTCCCCTACCTATGGCAACTCGGGAGCAGGTTAGGGAAGTTTCGCAAGTTGACATTGAGTTGCTGGGAGGTTGCAATGTGGACTGCAACTGACTAAGAGAGGAGCTTCCTAGTATGCTATCTGTTCCCCTTTCTGAGCAAGGTTCCCTACCATTTTTTACTTTTCTCCTTTTTTTCTGGGCAGGGTACATTTGAACAAACTACGAATTTCAAATGTCCTTCATTTATTCCTTTCTATTTTCTGAGGAAATTGGAGAGATCCATTTGGAATCCAGAGACGTTCTTCGAATTAAAAATGTTTCACAGCAAGCTATCTTTACCTGCCTGCCTTTTGCTTTTCTGTCTTTCTGTAAACAATGTATAAAGGTCAATTGGGGGAGAAAATAATCTTTGAAAGTATATTGAGTGCTATTTGAAAACATTTCTTTACAGGAGTATCTCAAATGTCTGTCTTGCTATGCTGTAGTACATATTTCTAAATTTGCAATAGCTGTAGTTAAATGTGATACACAGAGAAATATATTTATGTAATCTCTTACTTTTAGATTATTACATACCCCTCCTTGTTTGCAATCACAATGCCTTCTAGCAACTTTGTCATTGAATGAACATGTGACAGACTGTGAAGATTGCTAATTGCTGTTGGTCATTCCTTTACAATATCCTGTATCTGACCAATTTTTGTTCTTTTTTTACCTCTTGAAGGGTAGAGAGATTGCTTAAACAAATTATCTTTTCCTGTGCTATTTTTCTCTACAACCTAATGTTTCTCTAAATCACAAGTTAGCATTGTGACCTTGATTAGAATCCTTCACCTGGCTGTAATGCTGCCTGAAACAGACTATACCTTGATCAGTTTCACACTTTTTGTTGCCAGGCACTTGAAAATTTATTCATAAATAGTACATTGGTGAGAAAATGATTTTTTTTATTACCATAGTATTTGTGAATAGTCGTTAAATAAAGACTGGGTATGTTTTACCTATAGAACTTTGACCCCATAAAATAGCAAAATAAAAAAATGTATGAATAGTGGATATGCCATCTTGTTAACTTCAAAGATATTTACCAATATGCAAATTTCTTTTTGTAGGAAATAGATCTTCGATTGAAATGGCCAAATGATATATACTACAGTGACCTTATAAAACTTGGTGGTGTTTTAGTAAATTCCACATTAACAGGAGATACGTTCCATATACTTATTGGTAAGAATATCAGAAATTTCCATTATGGTGGTTTATAATATTGCCTATTTTTGACATAGCAAATTGAACAACATGATTATGATCCCCTAGAACCGTAATGAATATTTCTGGAATATTTCTACACCAACACATGATTTGCAAGAGAATTTTTTTATCTGATTATTTTATGACAAAATCCTGTGGGATAAAGACAATAAAATGTTTCTCAACCTCAGAAAAGCTCTGACTAAACACCATATATTATTATTAGGAAGGCATATTTTTGCTACTCTAGATCACCAGTTTTCTTCAGCAAATCTTGCATTACAATCAAATAATTTTCCTTGTTTTATGGTGGGAATATACTGATAACAATTTAGCACCTTATTCTTATTTTTGTGAATAATCAATTAATTCAAATAATTTATTTTAATTGGTTATGTTGTTTTATCTTTAAAAAAAGAAATGGGTTTCAAATTATACAAGCTTATGTCATCTTTCATCATTGGAAAGAGTAAATATCTTAAGAAATCTATAAAAGGATTTTTATATCTGTCTAAATGATTTAGAATGAAATGTATTACCATAATAAAAGAAATAATTTTACAGATATACATGACATTTTATATATCTTTTTTCTAATGACTTATTCTTCCTCAGGATTTGGATTTAATGTTAATAATAGCAACCCAACTATATGCATCAATGATCTCATTATGGAGTACAATAAGACAATGAATACAACATTAGAGCCCTTAAATGCCGACTGCCTGATTGCAAGAAGTGTGACCATACTGGAAAATCTGATCAATATCTTTCAGGAGAAGGGACCAAATGGAATTCTTCCCATGTATTATAAATACTGGGTGCATAGGTGATTAAGTTTATTATTCTCAATTAACAATAAGTTTTCTTAAAGCAATAGTGGCTGATCAGGTTTAATTTTTATTATTTATCATAGTTTGCTTAGTAGGTATTTGACTATGTATAGACATATTTAATTAAAAATAGTGTTGAACACATAATTTAAAAAATATCAGAATGTCAGAATTTGATTCATAAAGGCCTAATTTTTGGCTACTACATCAAAAACCTAAAAAAAACAGGCTAGGAATTAATAAATTAGTATTCAAAAACTCTAGAAAACCATATCTATTTGATATGCTACAATACGATACTATATTTAAACAAGAAGAGTTATGTAAAATAAAAGATGAGTGCAGGAAATCCTCATGCTATTATTCACTTTGATTATTTTTTCTTCTGTTCAATCTTGTTTTATTCTTGGAGATAGCCCGGTGAAGTTCCTGCAGTTTTCTTGGCAAACTTTTTCAGAAGTTGTTCGCCACTGCCTACTCCTTAGGGGTTGAGAAAAAGTGCCTGCCCCAAGGTGACTTTGTGCCTAAAGGCACAAAGGACTAGAGCTCACCCACCCCAAATTTCTAGCCTGATACCTTGACCACTACTCCAAATTGCTCTCGATTATCATGATAAGTAATTAATGAATTCCATATGAATCTTACGTAGGATCCATATACATTTGTTAATAATTATTTTCCCATATTTAATATATGATACCGGTAAGTTCCTTGGAACAGTAACACTATCATCCTTATATGGATATTTGTTGATCAGTGAATGAAATACATTGTTATATGTAGATGTTTACACAAAGTAAAGGTGGATAATCAGACACTAAAGATACTTTGCAGAGAGGGATTCATTATTAATAGAATAGTCAGACTAAAATTTAATATATGTTGTATTAATCAAATAATGTTGTTTTCCGTTTCAGTGGTAAGCAAGTCCGACTCAGAAATGATGAAGGACCATTGGTATGGATTGTTGGGATAGATGATACTGGATTCCTTCAGGTTTATGAGGAAGGCAAAGATGTTATCACCGTGCATCCAGATGGCAATTCTTTTGATATGCTAAGAAATCTTATAATTCCTAAACAATAGTTTTTCAGTATGATAAAACAATCATTCACTTAGACTATTTTGTATTCAGTGCTTATTATGAGTGCTTAGCTAAAGGCAGTATCAACATTTTTCTTCTTTTTAAAGCAGGAAAATAATAGTACTGTATGTATCAAGAAAAGAAACAATTTTGCATAACTATTTTTTTGTTAGGTTCTCTTCTTTGTTACCTGAGATGGTATTTGGAAGTTTTTCCTGTTTACCTTCTTTTCTTTCAGGATTGTGTACAAATGTGAAAAAAGCATTGCAAAAAGTATTAAAATCAATATCTAATTTTTGAAATGGATCATTTGGATCATTTCCCAAAAGAAATTGTTATGTTATGATGTATTTTGTTCAAACTTCTTCTTATAGTAACTTTTAACACTAATAATCATGCTTTTTGTGTTATTTCTGTTTTTTACAAGGAAAAGTTTTTCAACAAATATTTAAATAATATGATACATCATCTGGTTTTAATTAAGGAGTAGATGGCTATATTATTTTATTACATAATATTATATATTATAACATTTAAGTAAATGATAAAAAGTGAATGTAGCTTTCTGAAAGGGATTTGCTTAGGCTGTATTGGAGCCTAAGCTTTCCACAGTTTTTGGTACATTCAGGTTTTATAGCTAAATATTAGAGGTAGAATTACCATCAATTTAACAGAATTCTACAGGTTTGTTTCCCAGTATTTTCTGACTTCTTTTCTTTAGGTCTTTAGAGTAGAAACTAGTCTGGCCAAATAGGATTAATTTATTATTATTTTTTAAGTTTAATTTATTAATAATTTTAAGGCTCTCTTGAATCACAGCGGTTAACAGAACCAATATTGCAACAGAATCTGCTGTAGATTACTTTGAATCATTTCTCATTCATTCTTTACTCAGTAAGATTTTCCTGATCTTTGATGCTATATTCAAATTCAAATAAAGATGGTTCTGTGATATTTTCATCCTCAAAGATACTTTTCAAAAATCTCAATGCATAATGTGTTTTAAGTATTGATTTTGGTTTGTAATTTACACAAACATCCAATCTAAAATTTTAAAACAGTTTCAACATACTAGGAAATTGAGTTAGCCTGCCCTCTTTTTTTAATGCTGTAGGCCAGCGGTTCCCAAACCTTTTCAGTCCACTGCCCCATTGTTGCTACATACTCATCCTTGGTGCCCCCCACCCAGGGGTGGGATTCAAATTTCTGTGGGCGTGGCCTAATTTGAGAGCATGGCTTGCTGGTCACGTGATTGGGTGGCATGGCTTGTTGGCTGGGCATGGCTTGCTGGTCACATGACCGGGTAAGTGTGGTTTAGTGGTCATGTGACTGGGTGGGCATGGCCAGATGACTGGCAAACCAAATACCAGTGGTCCTCACAGAGAGAAAGAGAGAAGGAAGAAAAGAAAGAGAAAAGGGAAAGAAAGAAAAAGGGACAGACAAAGAAAGGGGGGATGGAAGGAAGGGACAGAAAGAAAAAGAAATGAAGAAGGAGGGAGGGAGGAGAAAGATAATGAGATATCTATTCTAGTCCAATCACCTGCTCCAGCAGGGCTAGAAGGGAGAGTGTGTGTGTGTGTGTTTGTTTGTGTGTGTGGTAATTTACCAGTACATTTTGGTTTTTCCTTCTTCAGAATTGGCACTGTAATACATTGGGGAAAAGTAATTTTTAGGGTGGAGGTCTGGTCCAATGGATCCTGTTTAAAGCCTCAACAAAATGTGAGAGCTTCCTGATAGTCTTGATCATGTTTTGTCCACAAAACCTTTAATAGAAGCCAAAGATGTTTCATTGTGGAAAAAGGCCTCACTCTAAACTAGGCCTCATTTCAATCTGATGCATCAGGTCCCTCTCCCTCCCTCTCTCTCTCTCTCTCTCTCCCTCCCTCCCAGACTGGCTTTGCTCTACTTTCCTGATCTGCCTGCGGGGCTGATGCTTCAAGGATGGATGGATGGATGGATAGAGAGACAGGTAGATAGGTAGGTAGATACATTGGTACATAAGTAGGTAGGCAGGCAGGCAGGAAGACAGACAGACAGACAGACCTTTTGGATGGATGGATAGGTAGGTAGGTAGGTAGGCAGACAGACCTTTTGGATGGATGGATGGATAGACAGACAGACAGAATGCGACAGCGGCAGCACTTTGGGAAAGTAAAGCAAACCCGCCACCACCACATTCGAGAGGCTGGCTCCGGAGCGGTGCAACAGTCAATGGGGTGAGCCTGCGGTGCTGGTGCTTCGAATGCCCCTCTGCCACCTTTTAGTGCCCCTCTGCTGGCCCCCTTGGGGGCGCTAAAAGGCAGCAGGGGGGCATTCGAAGCACCAGCACCGCAGGCTCACCCCATTGACTGTTGCACCAGATCGCTACAAGTGGCTCAATGGAGTGAGCCTGCAGAGCCGGCGCATTGAATGCAGCGGCAGCACATTGCCCTGGGCTTCCTCAACCCTGCCCTGCTCCAGGAAAGAAGGAACAGCACATAAGTGCCCTGGGGGTGCAGCTTGGGAGGCTGATCCCTGGCAGGAGGGACACCCTGTGCACTTGCTGTCAGGCACGGCAACTACAAAGAGGGCAGGGCTTGGCTGAGCAGGATCCTGGATATTGGGCCTGTGATCAAAGCCCCCCTTCCTCTGCCTCCCCCTAGGTCAGGGGTCTGCAACCTTAAACACTCAAAGAGCCATTTGGAC